GAAATGCACAGATTCATATTTAGAAGTGTCTCCAGAAAATTGTTTATCGTGACTTTATATTTTGAGTCAAGTCCTGATCTTAAAACGCTTATTTAAACATGTGAAAGCTGACAAAGTCTTTGTAAGCACTGACCTGTATGGGCGTGGAAAATGTTAGCAGATAAAATCTGATTATCGTTTAAATTTAACAATTTTGATTGGAAATTTCACTTGGACAGTTTTTTTCCTCAAAGTTTCAAAGTCCCTGACATGTTGTTTCCTCTCACATCTTCCCAGGATAAACTCTGACAGGATGCTGCTGCTTGTGCGTTAATTTGCAGAACTTAAAATCAAAGCGTACATTTGCTCTTCATACTCTTTAGATCTTCTTGTAACAATCGTTTCCATAACTGTTGCCATTGAAATAGCAAATTAAAACAAACCAACTTTGTTTCATGTGCCAGAGATTTCTCTTCTGCCATAAAGATTTACACCAGTAGGTCCCGGAATTGCCGCTAAAAACAGACAATTTTAAAATTGTATTTTGAAATAATATTTCTATTATCTATTATGTAATCTGAGCCATGCTGGCTGAATTATGGACACAGACAGTGAAAGTGTTTCAAGGACGGAGCAATGGGAACAAGTGGGAACAACCTTCTTTAGAGACTCGGCGTGTGAACACGACACTGCTTACATCTAACATTAAATTATATTTTTATAATAAACAGGTCATTAAAAAAATTATTTAGATCGGTAGATCAGTTAAAACAGTAACCCGGGGTTACTCAGTACAAGCTTGATACGGTTTCATTTAATACATTTGCATCTGCATGTCATTATTATCATAATAATTATTAGCCTGTTATTTTAGCGCTGAGTAGTTCATGCTTCTGCTTTTTATAGACTTATATTTTGTGGATTTTTTACACCTTTATTTGAGCTTTTTAAGTATACAATCTTTCATTAAATAAAGGAGTTAGTCTTCCATCTTTGTTCGCGTTTCTTTTTTATTCTAGTCTAATTCAGCGTTTTCTTCTCGCCGTGTAGGGGAGGGCTCTTTGTACCCCCCCCCATGGACCTCTGGGGGGGTCAGTAGACCCGCTCCGAGACCCTCTGACTTTGCTTAGTCCACTGTGCCAGACATTCCTGTACAGCAGCCAGAGCACAAGACCCCGCCCCTTCACTCAGAAATCCGGAGCACGTAGCAACAACTGAGCCAATGCGCTCCGCCACGATCCGTCCTACCGACCGCGGCGCCTGGCAACAGAAAAAGACGTGATGACGTCCTCCCCAGATTGCGTATTATGGGATGTGCGGAATTAAACAACCCGAAGAGGACGAGGGGAAGCCAAAAATAATAAAAAACACAGAAATAAACGAGGTGCATGGTGAACCATGGAGCTCTCGGCTGTCGGTGAGAGCGTCTTCGCAGCCGAGTCCATCATTAAACGGCGAATCAGACGGGTATTCGCTGTTTTTTTTTCCTCCACCCGCAGGCTGTGTCTCTGCGTCTCTAACGCAAACATGTGCGTTTGCAGTGTCGACACGTAGACATTTGATAACCTGACTCTGTTGTGGGTCTGTTTTTGCAGGGTCGTTGGGAATATCTCGTGAAATGGAAGGGTTGGTCTCAGAAGTGAGTATAATAACCGAAGCTGTGAAGGACAGCGCTCCATCCTGGCCGCTCGCACAACTGCACCATCACACAGTGTGGCGTTACTCAGCTTTGTGGATGTGTGGTTTGTTTTAAAAAAAAAATGCATTTCACGCACTCGGTGTACGGCGGTGCCGTGTGCCGTGCGCCTGCTGGCTCGTGTGCACCTGGCAGGTGTTTGAACACATCTCGCTTTCAGCCCGCTGAGATGTGTTGAAGTCTACACTAGCTTTAGCAATGGCTGAGTTCACCATGCGTCACTGTCCTGCTACGTAGTCTGTAATTGCAGAGCGAGCAAAGCGAGATTGCTTTGATAAAAGTGTCAGGAGCGCGTGTTTTTGCGCATTGACAAATGAGCGTTTCTCAGTGTGTGTCTGTGTGTCGCCAAACACCTCTCCTCTCGGTTGTTGTGACGTAGGTACAGCACTTGGGAGCCGGAGGAAAACATTCTGGATGCACGTCTCTTCTCTGCCTTCGAAGAGAGGTGAGGGTTTGACAGTGAAACAAGTAGGCCTCTCTCTCCCTCTCCCTGCAGAATCAAGTTGGCACCGCGCATTTTGCAAAAGTGTCACTTTAAATAAAACATTTAGTCTGGGTTTAAATCTATGAGCCCCACATCCCCATTCCTGACAGGAAAGTGTCAGCAGAGCCACTTTAAGTAGCTGCAAGATGTGATGTCGCCCATTTAAAATAAATAAATAAATCCCAAACAGATGCATATATATTTTTGCTTTATTCGATTTGTATTTAGCTTACAAGTGAAAGCTAATGGAAGCTGGTTGAATTTCAGCCCATAGTCCAGTAAAATGAGATGTTCCAATTTAATCATTGACTTAATGAAAAATAATTGTTTATTGTGTCGCGCGGACTCTTTTAACGATTTATAAAAATTCTTCAGGGAGCGAGAAAGGGAGATGTTCGGGCCGAAAAAGAGGGGACCCAAGCCTGAGACATTTCTTTTAAAGGTGAGTGTTTGTATTTATTTCTGGGTATTCCGTTTTATTCGCTTATCTTTCCGAGGCGTGGCTTCATGTGTACACAGGCTGAACCATTTCAGTGATGTGTGCACTCCTGTAAACTTTGATGCCACTCTGCTGTGGTTTCACTTTTTTGAAAACAATTGTAAGTTTAAAAAAAGATCTGCAAAGATCTCTTTTCTCAAGGGTTTCTGGTCATGCAATGTTGGACAAAGAACTTTACGTAACTTTACATGTGAATATTAACAGTATTTTCATTCTTACAGCCTTTCATTCCCTTTAAATCACAGAAACCTTAGGTCAAGGCCTCTAAAACTTTACATTTGCTCAAGAGACTTAAAATTTTCAATTCTGGGAAACTTTTCGTCACAAATGTAATTGGTTTTTTTCTCCTCTTTTTTTGCTTCCTCAGGCCAAAGCCAAAGCCAAAGAGAAGACGTATGAATTTAGAAGAGAGGCTCCCAGAGGGATCCAGGTTTCCTATCCCATCCCCGAGCCTATCATAACACCGAGGGCCAGGGAGGGTTTGCGCACCGTGGTTCCCACAATCTTCCCGCCCAGCGCGGTCAACAGAGGGGAAAGTGTCCACATTCGCCCACCAGAGTCGGAGAGAAGGCCCAGAACAACTCCAGCAGCTGCTCAGCAGTTCCCCAAAAAGAGAGGACGCAAACCCAAAATGCACATGCATTATGATAAAGACGACGGCAGCAGCTCAGCAGAGCCGGACTCCAAACGTAGCAAGTTCACGAAGGAGCCCACGTCTCACCACAGCCGACGCCCGCATCATCACGGGGAGACGTCAGATCACTGCCTCATGCAGTTGACCAAGAGGTTTCAGGAGGAAACCACGATAACACCCAAATCCCACAGCGAGCAGAGACATTTAGGGGGCGCGGGCTTCTCTTACCCATGCGCATTAGCTTCGGATTTGCGCAAAAGCGAGCAGGGGAGGCACAGGACTCACTGTTTGAGCATGAAGCGGCCTGCAGCGAACGAGAACTCTCTGTCCCGGGAACAAGCTTCACCTTCACACACCGATTCCACCCACGAATCATCCGAGCACCCAGCCTCATCCTGGACCCCCTGTTTCGCTCACCTGGACACTGTGACCGTAACCGATGTCACCTTGAACTTCCTGACAGTCACCGTCAGAGAGAGCAGCACGGACAAAGGCTTCTTCAAAGATAAAAGATGAGTATTTCATGTAGTTCAGAGGAGGCCAATACCTGCCAAGGAGGTAACTGTGTAACACGCTACTAACAAACAGGCCTACTGTAATACTATATTTTTTCTATGTAACTTTCAAACGTGTACATACCGATATTTAATACGCTGCTGATGAAATTAAAATCAAACTGAAGTTTAAGGAGTGTTGTTGTTGCTGTTGTTGCTCTTTGACTGTCCGCTCTCACTATTTCTTTTTGCCCTGTTTGTTTATACTTGCAGTGTTTCTGTAGAGTTATCTGATCGCGATCTTTGTGGAACAATCTTTGCTGGCTAAAATTCATTCTGCTGGAACATTCTTTGACAGCGATGCCAAATACGATTTCTCGCTGGCTGACAGGTGGTTTTGTTTGAATTGTGATGAAGTTTTGTACGTGATTCAGCCCAATTTCTAGCGTTAGCTTTGCACCATCCTGCGTTCAACAAAACACCGCGATTTTAATTAAGATCAGAGGTCAATGTAATTGGTTTTTTTAAAATTAATTTTCCCATATTAATTCGTGGGAGTGTATTATTATCCAAAAATAATGTAAATAAAATGTGTAATGTTTTATCATTCCTGACAAAGAGGAAATGCACAGATTCATATTTAGAAGTGTCTCCAGAAAATTGTTTATCGCGACTTTATATTTTGCGTCAAGTCCTGATCTTAAAACGCTTATTTAAACATGTGAAAGCTGACAAAGTCTTTGTAAGCACTGACCTGTATGGGCGTGGAAAATGTTGTTAGCAGATAAAATCTGATTATCGTTTAAAAATAAACATTTTGATTGGAAATTTTGTCAAGGCAGCCAAACGGCGGAGCTTACGTTCCCAAGAACTTCACTTCATACTGTGAAGGCCTGAGGTCACGCCGAAGAAATCATGAACTTCATCATTAGTTTTTACATTTAATTCAATAGAAAAAAAAATAGAAAAGGGTTTTAACTCGAGAGTAAAAAAATGAACTGTGGAGCTTTAAAACCTAAGACCAAAAAAGTAAAATAAATTAAAAAAAAAATCAAAGTTATAATCTTTGAATCTGCTTCTTTCTTTTTTGTAATTAATTATCTCAGTAGATGAGATCGCGTTTACGTTATGGACACAGAGAGGCCTTAACGCCACTGTCAGTCAGTCAGTGAGTGTTAGCGTTAACAGTTTGAATTTATTTAGTCAAATAAATAAAGAAATAAACGCAGTAAATGACACACATCTGTAATTAGTTTGAGTGATTTGTGGTTTGGACATAAAGCCTGCAGACATGACCACAGACACCGTGACCCCGTGCCCCGAATGCACACGAGCGATGAATACATTTCATTAAAAGTTAAAAAAAAAAAATACAAAATGCACGAATTTAAAGCGATGGATTGATAGTGTAGATATTGTAGTTTTTATATTATTATTAATGATATGCAGCACCTTGGTTCGTTTGGCCTCCGGATCCAGTCTGCACTGTAAGAGGTCACGCTTCACACAAAAAGCCTCCATTCATTTTTTTGTTTGTTTTTTTTTTGTTAGCTTTGTCTCTCTGTGAGCCGATCCTGGAAATTGACTCTTGCTTTTTTTCTTTTTTAATTTGTTTGTTTATTTTTAACCTCTTTAACGTTTTCTAATGTTGAACTGAAGCTGCAAACAAGGTCATGTCTAAATGGGAAACGGAAGTGCGGCGAACACTTCTATAATCGTATTTAAAATAACAGAAAAAGAAGTTCACGATTTTAAAAAAGCGTATAGTAAACAGGGACTAAAAACTACCAAGCCTATTTTCACACTTGTAATGTCGGGTATGATTTGATTCCTCCATATTTGCGGCTTACAAGCAGCTGAGGCGACATCTGATGGGGGGGACTGTCCCTGTGACTGCTTCTACTCATTGTCAAAATCCCCTCCTGTCAGGGCGTTTTCGACAAACACGAAGCGCCAGCTCTCGGATCTGTTACGTTACTGTTACGTTCCGCACACGTCCACGAGATGTCGCTACCAGCGGGACTTTAAAGGGATGCCAACCTACTTAAACACAAAGACCCCGCAGGTTAAAAATTCAGAAGAGCTCCTCAGTGGATGCATTTTTGATGATAACTCAGTGACTCACTCAACTCTGTACCCAGCTGCAGAATTAGAGGCAGGAGGGGAACAGCCTGCTCCTGCACTCGCTCTCTTTTGCAGAAGAAGCCCGCAGCAGGCTTTACTTTGCCTTCCAGATGTGGGGAGACCTTGCGGTGCATCATCCCGCCACTAGATGAAGCTCAAGTTCGGATGCATTGCATGTTTCCCTCCTCCTTTGCCTGCTCTTTCTGTTTGTAGATGGCCTGCCTCTAAAAGAATGTCTATACAGAGATCAGGCTTCTCTTAACGCAGTCGGGGATTTGAAATCAGACGTTTTTCCCCTCCCAGGAACTGTAACCTTTTTTTGAAAATGAAAGCAATTTTATGGCAAGCAACATTTTTGAATGTTGAATGAGATACAAAATACAACTTAAGAACTCCAGTAAAACTTAAATAATACACCCTGAACACTTCAGGAGTGAATGAATTACAGTGCAGAAAAGCGCAAAGATGTTAACAGATGGCTGAGGGCCTTCAAACCGATTGTGTCTTTATAGAGCAAAGACAAAGAGCTGGCCGGCAGTACCCAACAACTGGATCGCTCCTAATTAGAGGTTGACAAAGAGAGGGGAGAGTGTGCTAACTGCTGTGTAGAGAGAGAGAGAGAGAGAGAGAGAGAGCACAGGAGCGATGCCCCCCCGCACCAGTCCCCAGAGAGCAGCAGCAGAAAGCCCTCACTCTGTTTATTCACTGACAAACTCTCCAGCCATGCACTGCTACCAGCCTCTCTGGGGTTTTTTATCTTTGTGTGGGTGAGATGTTGCCAAATCTGATTATTTTGACGTGTTTTCTGGCTCTCCGCTGTGCAGCTGATTTGTGTAACTGGACTGGAAGGTAAGAACTCTGATTTCAGATGGGATTTTTCTTTTCTTTAAACGATTTTTTGAAAACACTGAGTGCAATGTTGCTCCTCGGGTAAAGATTGGGGAGAAGCTTTGATACTTGTCTTATGTAACTTATATTTTTTCAAACCGTTCGCTTTGTAGAACATTTACAATCCGTTAAGAGGATTAAAATAGGAGGCTTGGTAGATGAAAGAACATTAATGAATAATTCATATTTAAATCTGCGGATCTGATGGTCGGAATTTATGAACAGACTTTTTAAATTTAATGCAGAAGGGATAAACAAATAAGTTGGAATCTGGTCCATTTGAGTTTTTTGTTAGATTAATATGGTTGAATAATTTATTAAGGATCGAACCATTTAGTTTTTATTAGTAGTGATGACATCCATGCAGTATTTGATTTGGCATTTCCCTCCGAATCCAGCGGTTTTGCAGCTGGCGTGGATTCCAGGATTGTACTCCAGGTGCGATTACGCTGTACAAAGGGCTCGGTGAGGTGGGTCTACCCGGGTCAGGCCCTCAGAGTGGTCCTCGAGCCCAATCTGTCCTCCGCCCGGCACACCTCCATCTGCATCAAACCGTCTCCCTCCTTCGGGGGAGCCAGCGTGTTCATTGAGCGTGCCGGCCAGCTGGAGCTGCTGGTGACGGACAGCGGGCGGCCGGAGTATCAGGTGTTCTGCTTCCGGGCAGACGGACCTCACAAACCCGTAATCTACCTCCAGGCCAGCCCTCAGAGTGATGGACCGCGAAACAGACGCACGGTGGGCTTCAAATACGAGCTGCTCACCAACAGGAGTGCTGCGCCAAACCTCGGCCCCAGCGGGCTGGAGAGTGAGTATAATCTTTTGTTTCGAGGAGATTGAACCTAAATCAAAATTTGGCTTTAGGTCCCGATAAAGCACCATTATGAACGTATTAATATTTCTTATTTGCTAAAGCAAAATCATTTCAGTCAGTCCCGCAGTATTAATGTAAAGGCTAAAGTCACGTTTGCATTTAATAATTTTAATAATATTAGTATTAGCAATAAATGAGTAAATAAATGTTTT